ACAAAAGAAACACGTTGCTTTATGTAATGTTTTATTTGGTTCGAAAGTGAATGCAAGTCATTTATAGAAGTGAAAGAAGTTAATTCTCTAACTATTATGGAGTATCAGGGAGAGAGGATAGTCAGTCAGGACCTTCAGTTAAACAAATTGCAGGCTCTGTCGTCTCCTCAAAGCCAGAACAAATGGCCTTCAGAACTGCTCTTTTATCCAGCTTGCCTAAATTCAGGAAACGAGATGAGTAAGAGTATACATTCCAAAAACATTGGGTCAAAATTTGCAAAGACAACGGGACATAATTCACTAACCTCTATATTGTCTGTTATTTATGACAAGAGTAGGCAATATGGTAACATCTCCACGGGAGCCCCTACCCACCTAAAGGCAAAATAGCTAAAAGTGTAACATCGAGTCTGGGGAAAAAAATCCAGGAACAAAGCCACAAGTATAGACAATGTTAAGGGAGAAAGAGCCGTGGATTCATAACTCCACCTGTACATCCTGTTCAGCTTTAAGAATTGAGTTCTCCACATCTGCTTCTGGATCTCCGACACAGTCTTTTATCTTGTTAAGATCCATTCCTTCATAGCCAAGTCAACCAGAGTAAGCATGTTAGAATTGATTGGTCTAGTGTTTCAACATTGAACCAATCATAACAACCTAGTATATCAACTAGATCAAAGGATGATGATAATCAAGACAGAAAAATATTGGTAGCTCCAACCGTGTAAAAAACTTATCAAATTCCAAACAAATGTTCAACCATCAACCTACCCAAGGATTTAATAACTTCATTGGCACATTCCTCGTTGTACTTCTTTTCTTTCATGGGACAACGAATTGAAAAGTCAGTGACATAGTCCCACCAAAGCCAAGGTTTCCCAGTTTCATTTGCAACTTTAAAGAAACAAATTTGCCGTAGATTTTGAACTACCACATCATTTCCATCATATCCTTTACTGAAATCCTGTTCAGGATCCGGTGCACAATATCTCCCATGATTGATGCATTGAGATTTGCATTGCTTACTCAAAATAAAAGCATCTGGGCAATACCAAGTTATATAATGGGGAGTAAATTGAGTGTACCCTTTCTGCTCAAGCATCTGAGCAGCTCCTTTGAAGTTCTTTACAAACTCAATCTGACTATCACACTTTGGCCCACACTCATCATTGCTATTTGTCCAAAATTCATACTCAACACGATCATCTGGATGTGGAAGAGCTTCTGTCCAATCAAGATTTATATTAACCATTTCTCCACTAGATAGAGCTTTCTTGATGTCATCCCCCAACCTCTTGCTAATAAGGGCAGAAGGGATGGTAATGTCCGTAAGGTAATCAGCATCTGCTTTCTCTTCTTCTGGAGAGTCCATGGTAATTAATGGTTCAAGTCTATCATCTGCAACAAGAATCGCTGCAGCTCCACCATTTTGTGCATTCCACGCCTTCAGGGTGAAATAACAATCTAAAGCAAAGGTCAACGAATTCCTCAACAAAGAATGATGATATTGAACATAAGCAAGACAGGGAAAGCAAAGGTAGTAAAAATTGAACTAAAAGAAATAATATGAAAAAAATAGCATTAGTCTCTTTCCAGAGAACAACATCACCGGATATTATGGTTAGAAGAGACTCGTATTTCTTGAGTTTCACCAATGACTTTTCAAAGAGCCGAATGGTTAAAAGAATTTCGATGATGTTATGGACTCCATTTGGGCATTTATGTGAGATATTGGTAACTTGAATGACACTTGCACATATACTAGTAACAACCTAGAGATACCGTAAACCTAGGTTGAGTAGGTATATTGAGCATAAAACCAGAAGTCCTTTGAATGACTCCCGTACCTATATGATAAAAAGTTACTAATTCCCTCGTCCAACCAGAATAAGCAATAGCGAGAGCCAAACTGAACCGAATTTCAGCTCCCACCATTTCATCACTCGCACAGAATCGAAAAACTCAATCATTGGACGAAACCAACAACTTCGATATTCTTAATTTGGAAAAAGGTAGTTCCCATGAATTAAAGAATCGGATATACAATATAATCGATAGAAAATAATAGTAATCATGTTCGAGAAAGCCAACCTCCTCGATCGGCAAGAATAAAGGTAGGAAGACTTCCAGGTTTGGACTTGAAAGAGATACCGACATCATCGAAGCTTTTGCATGCCTTCTGATTGGCTTTAGGATAATGCACGATGCCAGTCATGGTGCCTCCATATTCAGGAACCCCAAAATTCCCAATCGCACATTCATGAACGCCCTTTATGGAAGCTGGGGAAGTTACCTTCAAGCTGTTCTTCTCGACTACAAATCTACCCAAACAAGAGACACAGAGAATAAAAGAAACAGCGAGAAAAAGACTTGGTTTTCCACTCATCTTCAGATCAAGTTAAGCCTGAAGAGAATGAGTATGGAGTTTACTTTCCCGATGAAGCTAGAAACGTAGAAGTGAGTCCAGGTAGGAAAAGAAAGAAACTAAACTAGGGTTTTCGATATGGATTTGGGAGTTGAAAGAAATACGAATCAATTACGATCATAATCGAGGACAAAAGGTGGAGAGAATCATGAGGAACTGGCATCAGACGAACAAAACAGATATAACTCCTAACTCCTAATGAAGATCGACAGTACCTTAGTGTGGAAGAAACAGGCAACTAAAGAGATTTTTTTTAAGTGACGACTGACGAGACGGAGAATTTGACGATTTCTTTATCATTTTTGAACCTTTGATCTTCCGTATGTAATGTATGAATTTTGACAATTGAAATTCCACCCGGCAGAGAACGGCGTTGCATGCACTTAACACTCGGACTCCTATGGAATTGATACGGTTAATAAAAAATTAAAAAAGAAAAATCTAAAAAGGAAAAGGGGGGGACTGAAATTGACACGGCCGTACAAGATTGGTGTAAACAGAACACTTCTCTGAGCTACCGTTGTTTTACACTGCCATTTTCACCTCATTTTGAAATATTCTATTTTTCTTATACGGCTAACGTAAATCTAAAATCATTTATTTCCAACTTCAAACTCAATACTTATAACTTAAACACAAAAGTCTGCATAATACTATTTGAAAATGCATCCGATGCCGAACCAGACTACAATAGAATAGGTGTGAAAATTGGAGTCCACTTCAGGTTTAGTAACATTTTTCCCATACACTGTCCTCGATTCAAGTTCTCCGCATGCAAATAGAAATAGATACAAGGATTTTACAAGTAAATTTACAATGGCCAAGCTTTAGGACGTGCTTAACCTTGGCAAAGGCAAAGGCAAAGCCCAGAGTAAAACAAAACCACACTTATTCTCGTTTGTCCTCCTCAGTATCTTCCCCATGCCCATATAAATGATCGCTCGTAATTATTAGTCCCTTCCTTTCTTTCCTTTCCAGTTTAGAAGCCATATCCCCTCCGCTGGTCAAACAAATACCTTCTTCTTCCAAGTCTTCACCTGTCTCCTCTGAATATGCATACCTGCAACATCAACTACAACTTTGGTAACTACTTACACTATCTCTCTTCATCCCAAGTTAAATATATTCCAACCCCTCCTTCCCATCTCCAAATTAATACAAAAGCCACATTGTGCGCAACAGAGCCACACTTTTATACAATCAACTTGCACGATTACTTTTTAATAAAGCAACAATATGAAAAGTATCAAAGGAGACTGAAGCAGATTATAAAAAGACTCTAATTGGCGTTAATAATAAAATAATCATAATTACAAAATAGTGTATAAAGGGTGCACCAAGTATAAGTACTAATGTGCCACCCATGTAATTCAAACAGAAATGTGACCATACGGAAAATAAATGCATTCACAGTGATTATCCAGAAAGATGCGCACCTTGTGGGGTTACTTGATGGAGCCCAGAGTAAACAGATCACGCCCAAGAGACAAAATGACATGAAAGTCCAGAAAGCTGGAATGATCCAAGCAATTTTCCATAGCTCACTTAATGGATCAGTTGCATTGAAGTATAGCTAAGTGAGTCAAAAACAAGAGAAAAGATGAGTCAATACTTTGCTCATATCATTATTCAGCAAGATTAG